TTCCTCTCTCTCTCTCTCTCTCTCTCTCTCTCTCTCTCTCTCTCTCTCTCTCTCTCTCTCTCTCTCTCTCTCTCTCTCTCTCTCTTTTTACAACCTGATACCATAGACGGAGACGAAGCTCTCGACGACGACCTCGACTTCATGTAAATTTTCCGTCCCGCCAATTTTCTTGTACCTTTTCTCAAAAGATCTCATTGAATCAACCCTATCCATTCCCATTTCCTCCTTTGTCCCACAATCGCCCGATCTGAACATGATCTGATAAGATCTGCACCAACTTCTCCAACTCGCACGCACTCACACAATCACACACTTGTAAATCCAGCCAAAATAGACAGAAGAACAACAGATTAAACGCGACAGCGATCGATCATGCGAGAAAAACACGGAGAGGACAACTGGGAAATCTATGGGAGGAGGTGACAACGCGATGCGACTTTTGCGACGGGAAACTGTGAGGGGAAAAAGTGGTGTGTGGATGCTGAGAGAAAGAAAGGATATAGAGAGCCTATGCTTTAAGCGGGCGACATGTCAACTTCAGGAGCAATGTCCTCCGAGTGGATCCTCTTCATGGGAGGCGGGAGGACCATGCTGATTGGTGAACCTTCGCGTGACAGTGCCTGACCCAGCGAAGGCAGAGTAGTGCCGTGCTCCCGCTGCGCAGAGTGGATGGGAGTCATACCAAAGAGAGGGCCCTTTTTGCTCCTCGACCCACTGCTCGAGTGGGGGCCAATACCCGCTGCGGGCGAGTTGGTCGCACTCATGGGAATCGACGAGTAGACGCTGGTAGGGCTCGACTCGCTGCTGGCAAGACCGTTGCTGGTCGCAAAGCTGTTGCCGATCGAGCTCTGGCGCGAGTGCGACCTGGAAGAGACAGCAGGCAGTCCGGGCAAAGGGTGCAATGTGGGCGAAGCATGCGGCGAACCGGACCTGCTAGCAGGTGCAGAACGCGAGCTGCTGCGTGCGCTCTTCTTGTGGTCGCCGTAAGGGTGGTAGTTGTAGGCATGCGAGTGGTGGTGTCCAGGCAGAGGATGGTGGCTTCCGTCCCTGTGCGAGGCACTTGCTGGGAAAGGAGGTGGGAGCGTCCTCGAGGAAGGATCGGCTACCAGATGAGGAAAAGACGATCGAGACGAGTGTGGTTTGAGGCTTCCAACACCTCCATCGAGAATGTCCTCAATCTTGGTGCGTCGGGCACCACGCTCGGCATCTGCAGATGGGCCATGCGCCGAAGTCAAGTGATAGGCCGAGAGACTGGTGCTCGAGTTGAGCGAAGGGATGCCCTTGCTGCGCGAGCCGAAGCTGTGGCTTCGTGAGAGCTTGGGAGGCATGTGCGATGGCTGAGCTGGCGAGGTAGATGCCGAGGTGGATGCAGAGCCGCTGGCGTGCGAGTCGAGCTCGGCAGCGGTGCTTCGTTCACCGGAAGTGCTAGGAGGGATGGCAGGCTGGACGGGAGCCATGCCGAGCGATGAGAGATGGTGGTGGGATCGGGATCGAGCCGACGACTCCATGTAAGGATGAGATCGGTGTCGATGCGAGCCGTGGTGGCCCATACCAGACTGGTGAGCGGGGCCCTCGTGCGAGTGGTGGTGATGGTGGGGCGGCGAGTGGCCGTGAGTGTGAGGGTGAGAGTGACGCGAGTGGTGCACAGGAGAGCCGGGGCGCGAAGTATAGGGGCTGTTGGGGACGGTGTTGCCGCCGAGCAAGCTCATGTTGCGGAGAGGACCGAGTACGGGACTGCTGCTGGGTGTCCAGTGTGAGTGACTGTGCGCCGAGTGCGAGGCGGGAGCAGGAGCTGCCAGAGGTAGACGAGGCTTGGAGTCGTCGTTGAGGGAAGCGGTATGCTCGAATTCCGAGGCGTAGTCATCGGTGTGCAAGTGATCGTCTGGCGAGAAGCGGGGCGAGTGTTCGACGCTGCTTGGCACGCTGGAAGAGGTGGAGGTCCATCCACCAGCAGCATGGTGCGAACCTTGCTGGTAGTAGCGGTAGAGGCTGGGAGGTGGATGGCTGCCGTTGTAAGAGCCATGCGAAGGGCGTGAGTAGCCGCATTCGGCAGGATGGCGATTGGACGAGGGACGGGCCAAAATAGCCGAGGCGATTCGGTCGTTGTACTTGCGGTGGCAGTCCTCATGCGAGCATCCGGGAGGAGTGTTTTCCGACGAGGTCGAGGCGGGAGGAGGAGGGTAAGCGTAGCTGCTGGATCCATGGCTCTGGCTCTGGTAACGATCGGCATAGTGGTCCGCTGCATAGTGAGGGTGATACGCGTGAGGGGGACCAGACCGACGACCCTCTCGCTCTGCGCGCTGAAGCTCGTGGAGCTCATCGCTGGCTAGCATAGCGAGGGTCGACATTTCAGCATTGCGAGCAGAACGAGCGCCGTGGCTGAGTTCGCGATCCGAGTCGCTGTCATCACCCTCATCGTCGCCTACCTGCCATCGAAGCGTCCTATTGTTGACGTGAGGGGGTTTTGAGGAAGCGGAAGCGATGGCAGGAGCAGCGCTGTGGTTGGAAGAGCTGCTTGCGGCAGACTTGCGTGCAGAAGTAGCCTTTTTGTCCTCGGCGTGAGCACCACCTTTCTTTGGGTTTGCATGAATGCGGACGTGACGGGTGAGTTCGTCGCTTCGGCTGAAACGCTTTTCGCAGCCGGGATGTGTGCAGACGTGGGGTTTTTCGCCGGTATGAGTGCGAATGTGTCGGGTCTGGTGTTCGAGTCGGTAAAAGGCACGCGAACAGAGCGGGCACTTGTAAGGACGAGGGATCTGAGACTTGTCGACGGTGTAGTTGCTAGCTGTAAGCGCAGCAGCGTCGGGGGTGGGGTTGGCCACGTTGGTGGCAGTAGGCTGAGCCATTGTTGGGGGAAAAAAAAGAAAAAGAAAAAAGAAAAAAGGAAGGAAGAGGAGCGCGATTGGAGATTGCCGGAGCGCTGAAGAACGGCAAGGGTGGTGGGACGGACTGGAGCAGAAGATGGAATTTGAATTGATGTGAGAGGGATTGAGGTGGTGGTCAAGAAGAAGGCTGCGTGTGTCAAGGTCGGTGTGTCAAGAGGCTAGTGTGAGGCTGATGAGATGAAGATATTGGAGTGTGGGGACTGTTGGAAATCGCCGAGGCAGAGAAAGATGACCGAGGAATGTAATGCGGAGAATGGTGGACGCAAAGTGCAATGATGTTGGTTGTTGAAAAAAAGTTGCAATATTGTGGTGAATGATGGTGGTGATGGGATGTCAAATGATGGTGATGGTGATGTTGAGAGTGAGAAGCGAGATGGACGGATGGATGAGTAGTGGGGTAAGAGAGCAGGGAGAGAGAGAGAGAGAGAAAGAGAGAGAGAGAGAGAGAGAGGAGAGGGAGAGAGGGGGAAGCGAGGGAGAAATTATCGATAAGAACGTGGGGACTGCGGTCTGGAGCCAGATTTCGGAGAAAAAAGGGCGAGGGCAAAAGCGGAAGGGCGAAGAGCGAGCTTAGCTTGGCGGCGAAGTATTTTTTATTTTATTTTTTTTTGGCTGGCGGTTTTCAGCTCAGCTGAGCAAAAAACGTTGTCCAACCCACACATGCACACACACTCTACTACAGTATCTCACACTCTCACGTCCACCCCTCGTACGCTTATTCGGTCCTTGTCCATCACACTTTGATGCTCCAACCCAATCTACACCCACCATGCAGAGCATACAGCATAAAAGAAAAACATGCATACAATCACTAGGTGTATCAAATGTCAAGACCGAGTATGACCAAACGAGGGCTGTGTTGTTCCATGTGCCTCACCGGCGAGATTATTACTGTATGAGTTGCCAATCACGAATCGGAGCAGATGGCGAAATGCGGTCCGCACGCTGCAGAGCCAGCATAAACCGAGAGGGAGGCGGGCCCAATCTCGGGCAAAAACTCAGACGACTCGACCGAAATGGGGAAGAACAAGAGTAAAAGGAGGCAGAGGGGCAGAGGGGCAGAGGGCTAGAGCGAAAATCAAGGCAAGAAAAACAAATTGTGTGTGGGGTATTCTCTTTGGCTGGAGGCGGCAAGATTTTTCGGTTTGGAACCGACGTTGGACCAATCAATATCTTAACCTTAGTGCGAGATCCAAGTGTACGCGGCTCTCACACAGTACGCACTTGAAAAATCCCATACTTTGACGCTAGTGCAGTCTGACTGACAAACGAGAAAAGGCGACATTGCCGAGGCCTAATTCACCCGGCTAACTGTAAAGATTGGATGGTAAGCACCGTAGGAACCAGCCGTCAGCGTGACTGAGAAGCATTGAAGCATTTCAATCCGGTGACAGGCCACTCAAAAGTTTCGCCTGTTCTTACACAACAGGGTCAAAGAAACAGAGGAAGGGAGGGGAAAAAAAAAAAAAAAAAAAAAAAAAAAAAAAAAAAAGTTTGCTCCAGACCGAATCATTTCCAAGAGTTTTTTTTCAACTCCAAGGTTCCAAACCTGACGACCGAACACTCTCCACTCTACACTCAATCACGAGCCAATCGCCGGAAGCACAACCTTCCACTTTTCCGGTCTGACGCGAAATCGAAATGCACTCCACCCAGAGGTGACATGACCAAGCACGCGTACAATTCCATTTTTCGCATTAAACTACGCATTTGTTTTTTTTTTCCGCATCCCCCGCGCCGCGCTATTTTCCCCACTCGAAATCTCATTTGACCCAGTAGCTCTCATCGTTAGTCACTTTCAAATGCCTCCCGCAAAGTGACCGGCTGACCGGACATGCTCTCAATGCCAGTAGACCTCTCTGCTTCATTTGCCTGCACTTTGCCGGCCCGGGCGCGCGAGGATTCAGGCCGCTTCTTGTCATTTGCAGATCGTCATCATTCCAACCCACCAACTTTCATGTCAGATCGCATCGAGTTATCCGCCTTCTTCCAAATCTTTTAAAACGCCATAACTCGGTCATTTCTCGATCAATCTGGCTCAAAATTAGCTTCATGATGTTCTCCTCGTCACTCTGAAGCCGTGGGTATCAAAAAAATGGCAAAATGAGAAAATCGAGGTCATACCGGGATTCGAACCCGGGGCAAGAGAAAATTTGATAGATTCAACTGATTTGCTGATCGTTCATCAAAATCTCCTAAGTTGACCACTACTCCATACGACCTGTTTAACCCACTCCCTGAATGTTGTATATAATCACAGCATTCACTTTTCTCAGAATGACGAGGATGAAGTCGATGTTCTCCTCTTCGACCCACACTTGTCGCAACCCCCCATCCAAAAAATTGTTGTCGATCCGACATCATGCCTTGATCAGCCTTCGTGGTCTCCCCTCTCACTTCTACTGGGTAGCTTTATCCAAGGCTTGGTGTCCCAGAAAGTGGCTAGATTGGGCTCAAAAGCGTAGAAAGCAGACGGCGAAAGAGCCGACCGAGCCAGGACCGACCACGTTGCAGTCAAGCCTCGGCCACCTACTGTGATGCGTGTTGCTTATCACTGCCGCGACATATTGGTGGCTGTTTCCGGCGATCCGAACCTTTGTGAAGGCTACACCCTCGAAACGACAGCTTGCCGGAGAGTGTCATGATTCTAGGCGCGATCGAACGAGGCATCGGTGAAACTCTGGGACGCATGAAAACGGGTCCGACCAACAAAAGGTGCTTCTCCATAAAAAAGTTTCGGCCGCGGCAAGATTACTGTAGAGGAAATCTTATGAGATAGACACATCGGCGAATTCACATCTACTGTATCCCAGCCTTGGCGTTCCTGCATCTCTTTCTCTTCTCTCCTTCCTTTCTACCTTTGTTTCGAACCCTTGGGCTACACCAATGCTGTGATGCGCTGAGTGTTGATGACGTATGGCACATAGGAGTGGATGTGATGACATGTCGTGCCATGCTTTGCGGCATGGCATATTGCAGAGCCACCCACCAACGTCGTCTACGATAGATTACAGTGGTCGTTGTCGATCAAACAACACCCCGTACCTTGTGGCCTACGTTCCTCGCGCGTAGCATCGTACGATACCACCATCGGCCCATGATGAACCTTGGCATGGAATGAAAATTCAAAGCAGAACCGAAATTGAGCGGGCAAAAAAAAAGGAAAAAAAAGGGTCTTTAAAATCGGAACATATGTCATCGGGAGTACGAAATCGGGACATGATGGATGCCTTGAGTATTCTCGGCACGCGCGACTGTCATTCATGAAATGCAGGCACCAAGCCGCGATAATATCAAGAAGGTCGCCAAGAATTGCCAACGAACCTCACTGCACTGCCTAGCCGACCAACATGCATCTCTTTGCCTTGAAAGAATCCTTCTTCCACTACAACACACGCACGGTCGATCTCATCCCGTCGCACCCCCTCTACAATGAACAGCTTGCCGTCGTGGTAGATAGCGTTCTTGACAAAACCACGAACCATGCTTTGTGTGCGACATGTTGTTTCCTAGCCAAGAGTGCAAGTTTCGTGCAAGGAAGCAGCGGAAGCAAGAGAAGCTCGGCGAAATATGCACTAAAATTCCCACCCACTCGGGCTGTGCTTTCTCTCTCTTGAGCCCCGACAAGGAAAGTCTTCCTTTTCGATAGACACGGTCGCGTTTGCAGCCCAAAGTCGCCGAGACCAACACCACCTCGTCCTTCTCCTCGTCCTCCTCTTCCTTCTTGCCTTCCTCGGTGCTCGCGTCTCGACCGCATGCTTTGTGCATCTCGTTTCGAATGTTTGGTACATCCGCGTCCCTCCCCCTCTCCTTCCCCGCTACTGCGACCGGGGATGTGATCGCCACTCAAGGTGGAAATGTACAGTACAACTCGCAACCGATGTATGCGCGCAGCAGCCAAATCCTAGCGATCGTCGTTCAGCATAACCGAGTGACCATTCCTCCTCTTGCTACATTCACCATGCGTGCCTGAAGATCAGTAAAGCCCACCAGCGTTGAGATTGGAAACAAGCGCCGCCGCAGAAGATGCGGGAGTGTGAGACAGACATCCATAGACAAGGCGCAACTACCAGATGTGGTTCCAATAGAATTCAAAGACGAGGATTGGACTCCGACCCTGCCACTGCCTCCGTTTTCACCCCCTTCGGCACCGCCATTCACTCTGTCTTCCTTACACCACCATCTCCATACCTCCCTCTCCACTTTACGCCATCTCCCCTCCCCTTCCCTCCCCTCCCCTTGAACCCCTCCTTATCCTTCCCCACCCATCCTCTCCCATTCCCGAACTGTTCACGACCATGCCTACTTCGACAACAACTTCGACCTCGACGGTCCAGCTCTTCGCCCCTGGCGTCAATCAAATGATCCGCAGCCTCGACCATTCCATGACCAAACTCAACGGTGACGTGTCCATCCGCTTCTCTCCCACTCCTCTCGCCACCACCACCGCCCCCGATGGCGCCGCCGCTACCGTCTGGAACGTTCGCGCGCACGAATACGCCTCCATCAACGGTCACCACACCACCATCGTCGAGGACCAAAAGTTTCTCGAATCTCACAACTACTTTGCCGCTGTTGACCAGTCCGGTGCCCATCTCGAATGCCACTTTGACCACATTGGTGCTCCGGCCACCTGCGTCAATAAGCAGCCCAAGCACCACCGTACTTTTACCAGCACTTTCAAGCACGCTCGCCCCTTCGCGACGGGATACCACAAACATGTGGCTGTCAAAGTTCATAACTCGACAAGCAGCTCGACGACTCAGGCAAGCTCCAGCCAGGCCTTGCCCACAACAACAGCAGAAGCTGCAATCGTAGAGACACCTGCTGCACCTGCAGTCGTTCAGAGCGCAGGTGGATCCACGGGTCAGACACAAAACTCTGGAAGCTCGGCAGGATCCAACGCCCGGATGAACTCGACCTCTGCAGCGAGCAAGGCTAAATCACTTCCCGTCTTGCTGGTCTCTGCAAGCATGCTCTTTGCTGCTGTTCTCGCATTCCAGCCCTAATCACACAGAGGCACACACGCCTTGTTGCTTTCCTCTGTGACACGATAGAAATGTCGGTCTGCACCGGTGGCGACCACTTTCACCAGCCTTGTCTTGGCTTTCGTCTTCATTCTACCTAAGCTTCCTCTTGCACACGTTCGCTTTCTTATTTGCATACATTCTTGTTCCCTTCATTTCAGTTTCTCTCATTACTGGCTGGACTGGTACCAATTGCATCACGTTTCTGCATTCACCTTGCGCTGCTAGTGTGTGCTGAGGAATCATGATCCGTTCCTTGCTGCCTCTTCTGCGTCCTCGTCTGCCTCCTCTTGCGGCGCCGGCGAGGTGTCGTTCACCGGCGCAGCCTCATTCGCCACCTTCGCCGCCGCTGGCCCACGCTGTTTCAGCTTCCTCCGCGGCAAAGCCATCTCCAACGCCTTTACCCAGTCCCTAGTCTCCGTCCACGCCGTCAGAATTTCAACCACCTGATTCACCGTCAACACTTTTCTTCCAACAAATCCTTTCTCTCCCTCTTCTCCATCCTCGTGCTCATCCGCGTCACCTTGAATCGACTCGCCGTGGGACCGCACATTTCGCTCCACCGCCTGCAGCATCTCCTGCGACAGCGGCAGCTTGGCAGCCCGAATCCCTAGACGGTCGGCTTTGGCCCGACACAAACCCTTGTAGCGATTCTTATCGACGATGCCGCCAATTATGTAGGTTTTGCCCGGCTCGAGCTCGGAAAGTGTGTCGTCGGTGTCGGCGGTCAGGTAGATTGCGTCGCTGATTCGAATTCGTTGGCGTGCTTGGCGCTCTTCTTCGGAGGCAAAGTGGCGGCTTTTGAGGCTGCTCTCGGCTGCAGGTGCAGAAATCGAGGTCGACATCGCCATATCAGCATGAGTGCTGTGGCAAAGGAGAGATTCGATCCCACCATTCTTGTAGATAGTGACCCGCTTCCACCGCCTCCACACGCCCCTGAGCTTGCCGTCCATCGCCTGGCCGATTCTGTTGTTCTCTATGCTTCCGGCGTTGGCGCTTTCCTCCCCAACTTCTCCTTCTGCAGTCGAAGCGGCACCTTGTGGCACCAGAGATAGCTGTTCGAGATGTACATCCTTCAAACAATCACCCCGTTTCTCCTGCCCTGTCAAAATCACCTCCCCGAACGGCATCTTGGCATTCCGATTCGCCGAGTACAGATACATCAATTGCTGCGTCATACTGCTTGACTCTTTGTCCGCCATAAGCTCGTCGAATCCGCAATCGATCACTAGACGGGCGTCGAAATACTCCTTCTGTCTCCCTCCTGCGCTTTCACCGGCTGGCTTCGGCCGCTTGCTCCCTTCCGCGTCGTTGCTGCCCGTGGAAGCTCGGCGTTTGCTCGCGGCACCATCAGCGGAGCCCTCGGAGTCTTTATTTGGATGCGCTGCAAGGAATCGTGCTCGCTTGTTCTGCTTCTTCTTAAGCCGTTCGGCAGCACGACGCTCGTGTTTGGTCTCTTCGAGCTTTTGCTTGCGCGCGAGCTTCTTCGCTGCGTTCTTCGACATGCCAGGCGGCACTGTTATGGACGGTCCAGCATGTTTGACTGGGAGCGGTGTGCGTGATGTGGAAGCTTCTGGGTTGTCTTCCATGTCGACAATCTTGTCTGAGGAAGAAAATGTCAGGTGTGTGCTTGCAATGAGGAGGAGGAAAGGCCAAGTGAAAGGGTATTTTGCTCGTCTGAGAAGAAAAGTGTCAAGCAGCAAAACCCGAGTTCCGCATAACTGACACCTACACCTCCACCACCAGAAAGAAGCTTAAATTTGCAGTCTGTGAGTTCCAAACGCTGTATCTTAACGCGACGCGTGAATTCGCGCTTCTGAAGCTGAAGTGTGCGACAGAAAGTGTTGGTCTCGCTCGCCTTTCTTCCTTCTCCATCCCCCCATCACTTTATCCCTCCCCTACCCCAGTCCTACAGCACATCCAAGCATGGCAGAATCATCCTCATCGATAGAGCTCTGCTCGGTCCCACTTCCATTGACTCAGTATCATCTGCTTGAGATTCCAAACGAGCTTCTGCCCCTCTTCGACCCTTCCGCCAAACGAAAAGACGAATCTGTCGCAGGATCCGAGCCAGCAGCCAAGAAGCGCAAGACCGACCCTACACGACTCACCATCAAGGGAAGATATGATGACCAAGCGGTGCTCGTCACGGATACCCAGACGCTGGCGCTGAGAGCCGTGTCCCAGTCCAATTC